CCCCCCCAATCCCCCGGAATGATAGAAAACGAAGCTGTGGAAGAACTCCTTGCTTTAATATTAGTGGTTCACCGAGGAGGCGCATGTTCGAGAACTGGTGCTGAAAGAGTATTCTTTCTGACAGTACAGGGTACCTTTCCCCACCACTGTACCTTGCCTTCATCTTATAATCGTTGTTCTCACTTGGCACTTCTGTTCAGGGCAACTATGGTGTACCAGACAGAATGATGGAATTGGGCTAGGTAATTCTGAATATAAATCCATTTATTTATTTATTTATTGAGATTTTTACCCCGCCCTCCCCACGGAGCGGGCTCGGGGCGGCTTACAAGGGGGCAAAGCCCATATAAAACAGATAAAAATAATAAAAACATTGATAACAGTTGTACTCAATTTAAAAACAAGATGGTCTCCGGATACGTGCCACATGGTAAACAGACAATTCTCCAGGGATGATGTTAACCTATAGCGTATCCTAACCAGGTAAATCCAGTGGTATCAGTCACGTAGAAATTGTGGCGGATCTTCCCCGGGCCATCCTTAACCCCGATGTTGTCTACCGCATTGGTGGTAGTGGTAGTGAAAGCCTGGCGGAAGAGCTCCATCTTACAGGCCCTGCGGAACTGCATAAGGTCCCACAGGGCCCTGATCTCCTCCGGGAGCTCGTTCCACCGGGTAGGGGCCACCACTGAAAAGGATCTGGCCCTAGTCACGGCGAGCCTTGCCTCCTGGGGGCCTGGAACCACCAGGCGATGTTGTGCCCCGGACTGAAGTGCTCTTGGGGTATATGTGGGGAAAGGTGGTCCCTCAGGTAAGTCAGACCCTGGCCATGTAGGGCTTTAAAGGTAAGTACCAGCACTTTGAAGCGGATTCGGTATGCTATTGGCAGCCAGTGCAGCGCTTTCAGTCCAGGCTGGATGTGATCCCACTTGGGGAGGCCCATCATCAGCCTGGCCGCCACATTCTGCACTAGCTGCAGCTTCCGGATCTGCCCCAAAGGCAGCCCCATGTAGAGAGCGTTACAGTAGTCTAACCTTGAGGTGACCGTCGCATGGATCACTGTAGCAAGGTCATCGCGGCCGAGGAAGGGAACCAACTGCCGAATCAGCCTAAGATGATAAAAGGCTGATCTGGCAGTGGCTGCCACCTGGGCCTCCATAGTTAAGGAGCGGTCCAGGAGCACTCCCAAACTCCTAACCTCTGACGCTGGCACCAACGGCGCCCCATCGAAGGTTGGGAGAGGGAGCCCCAACCCCGGTCCGCTCCGACTCAGGCACAGGACCTCCGTCTTCACTATTTAAGTAGGTTTAAAGGTTTGTATAACCCCTGCATGAAAAAGATATGTTTTGGACATGAGGCTATAAAATTTTGCTCTACGTAAAATTTTTGTGAGATGCTGGCAGCATTATATAGTCCACCACTATATTCCCAAACGAGACTAACCTTGTTGAATAGTGAAGGAGATGGGGGGGGGGGATCTTGGTTACCATCTGCACTGGCATGGATCTAATCTGCACAGTGCCTCATGGAGGGGATGAGGCTAAAGGGTAGAGCACCTGCTTTGCATGCACAAGATCCTAGGTTCAGTTCAGGGGCTTTGCCTCTTATTTGATTTAGTGAAAGAAACATATTTTGAACCCCTGAAACCATGGAGTGTAGGCCATCACTGAATGCTTCAAGTGACAATAATCACTTTAAAGCAGAATCTTTGCTTGTTTCCTATCATGCAGTCTTGATGGTTTTATTTTAATATTGATGGAAGCATCCCAAGGCTAATGTGTATTATGACCTCTTAATAGCATTCTCCAGTTGGATGTCAAAAATCCAATCCCACATCAGTCTTCCCCACTCAAAACAACAACTGTTAACACCACAAAATGCTTTTGAGATGAGATGTTGCTAATGATAAAAAGACAGAATGCTCTTCTGAATGCATTTGCACTGGCATTGAACTGATCTGCACTGCTTCTCAGAGGAGGGCTGTGTTTAATGGGTAGAGCACCCACTTCATACAGAGGGTCCAGGTTCAGTTCCCTGGCAACTCCAATTAAAATGTTGAGGTGGTAGGTGATATGAAAGATCTTTGCCTGAGAGTTGCTGCCAGTCAGAGTAGACAATATTGTCTGGGTGTGAGAGAGACCATCCAACCATGTTACCTCATAAACAGTGTTTTACTTTCTGATCTTGATTAAAAGGGGAAACTTGGTTATCACTGGTTCAGATCATGTAAACCCTGGCCATGGTAATGGTTGATGAAAATCAGTTTTTGCACCAGGCCACTGCCATTCTCATAATGTTGGTTGTGTGTGCCAGCATTACAACTGCACCAGGCCTTAAAAGATTAAATGGAATTGAAGAAATGTGACTTTATAGCCTTGCTAATGCAAGGCACTGCTCAAGAGCCTATGTGGTATAGTGGTTAGAGGCTCAAACTAGGATCTGTAAGACCTAGATTTGAGTTCTAACTCTGCCATGAAAGCTGTAATCAAATGCCGGAGGAGCAGAGATGTTAGTTTGTTGTAGTGAAACTGCAGTGTCTTGATGGCATTATGAAGATGACTTAACAAACTTATTGGGGCTTAAACTTGTTTTGTGTGGTGGGGCCCACTGCCTCAGATGATTCTGTCAAAGTGAGCTTTGTCCCTTGAATGCTTATGTTACAGATCTGTTTGTCTTCATAGTACCACAAGAGTGTGTGTTCTGTAATCAAATGGTCATGTTTGAGCTACATATTTATGGCATTGTGTCTTGTCTTACTTACCTGGCACTGATTCATAGCTGACATGAGAATTGTGGAATGGGATCAAGGCCATCTAATGCAAGCTCCATTCATGGGGCAGGATTAGCCATCCTCCTTAAAAAATCAGGTCCCTGTGGGCAACAAATATAGAGGAGAGGACCTTCTAATCAATGTCCTTCTGGAAAAGTATGTAAAGCATAAATGTAAACAGGAATAAAAATAAGTGCCTCTGCAGCCAACACATGTGGCAAAGCAGCCAGTGCACAGTAGCTTCATGGTGTGCGGGGCCAGGTGAGTCATTCAGACAAACTAAGCAGCCGTATTTTGTAGCTCACATTTAGGGGTGCCAGGTCCCTCCTGGCAACCAGCGGGAAACGGGGGGACTTACTGGGAGCAGGAGGAAGGCCTAGCCAACGTTGCGGCAATGTGTCTGTGTCACTTCCGACTTGACCCAGAAGTGATATCATCATGCAGTGCCACTGGGGGTGACACTCTGGTATTTGGGCAAAAACTCTATGGTAAATTTGGTTTCTAGAGTTTTTGACCAAATACCAGAGCATCGCCCTGATGTTGCTGACTTAATGGCGTCACTGACATATGACTTCTCTTCTGGGTCACATCAGAAGTGATATAGACATGTCGCTGCAACATTGACTGGCCCTTGCTCTTTTTCCGGATAAGTCACCCCCACCAGCCAGTTGATCGGTGGTGGGGACGTTGGGCCTGGTGGCAGTCTGGCAACCCTACTCACTTCGTAGGGTGCCCGGCACGCTGAAAGCAGCATCCAAATTTATTGTACTCTGCTGCTTTGAGCAAGACTAATGGTGTGCATCACAGTTCTTTGCAGGGTTGCTAGTTCAGTGTAGTGGTTACAGAGTCACAGACTAGGATCCAGGTTAAGATTCTCACTCTGCCATGGAAGCTTGCTGGATGACCCTGGGCTAGTCACACTCTCTCCGCTTAAACTCAGTGGAAAAGAGGGGAAACAATGTTGTACACTACCTTGGATCCACACTGAGAAGTAAAGTGGGGTATTAAGTATTTAAATGAATAAGTTATTCAGGCACTCCTTTAAGTTAAATGTTGGTACTGTCAGCCATCCTAGGATAGCATTGAATTGGCTCTGTGTACTGGGAAGGAAAATGGAACACTGCTCAGCCATTGTCATGCCAAGTTATTAGTGTATTTCTGAGTATAGGTGTTAGTATCCACATGCAAAGCAGTGATGTATGAAGCAACTCCCAGTTCTATTTCCTCTGTCTGCACTGGGAAATGAAACAGAGGCGCATGGCCCTCTGTGTGTTTAGAAAATATGTATGAAAGGAGATATAGGATCCATATTGTCCAGAAAATGAAATGCCAGCTCACACTCTAAGTTTCCACCCCCACCCCCGGGCACTGTATGTGGTAGGAGCACTGTATTTATGTGGTAGTAGCTCTCTACATGCTGCCAGATCTGGAATAACTGTGCTCAGCCAAGTTATCTATTTATAGTCACCTTTATATTGGCTATTTATATTGATTTACATGCCAGAGTCATCGCTTCAGAGGACTGAAGAAAATCCAAGAGCAATACCACTGGTGGCATGCTGCAAAGGGAAAATTTCTAGTCCATTTAATTGATCAAGGAAGCAAAAAGGCAGTTAGGGGTATTTGGTCCTATATGTGAGGCCCAAGAGAGATGTGGGCATTCAGTATCATTGAAACAGAAGACCTCTCAAAATCCCTCAGTGTATTAGATTGAACATCTCAAAACAGTCACTTGGGGAGAATGTAAATTTTCTGTTGTTTTTTAAAAAAACTTGAGTTCAGATTCAGTGTTGATCATAGAAAGAGTGCCTAATGATTACAGCCCTTTAAAAAATGTGAGGAGTTTTGCCCCAGAATTGAATTGTTCCGAATTCCGTGTCATTCTTTTTCTGTCTGTTGCCTGGTTGCACAGCAGGCATTGTCTCTACTTCTTTGCTACTTGAAATCTCCTAGCATTTCTACCTGTGGGGTAAATATTCTCTTTCTGATAACAACTCTTGTCTTCCTAAACTTCTCACATGGAGTTTGTTTGTTTTTCTCTTCATGATTTTTAAAAAAGCTTCTTGAACATTTGTTGCCAATGGGTAGGAGCCACAGTTTCTACAATGGAGAATGGAAGTTATTTTTGCCTTCATAGCCCCTGTGCCCCCCAAAGCCAGTGCTGAAGCTCAGGGGACTTTCTAGAACAATATGCCATGCACCACAAGTGGCTAAAACATGACTGGGGAAATAGGCCGAAATTGCCCCCTCCCCTCACTTTTGTGCATGTGGAACATGAATGGCGCAAAGGATTTGTGCAAGAGGATGTGTGCATGTGTGGAAGCCATTTCGGCCAAGAGCTCCTTATGCTGCATGGCATACTGTTCTACAGCAGCTTTTCCTAGGTGGGGGGGGGGGCTGCAGAGGGAAGGCTGCAGAAATCATTCCCCCAAGTTTATAGTGTTTATGGAAGCCTTGGAATCCAGCATTATATTGCTCCTATTTTTATATTTTGTTATGCTTAGTAAGACACACACAAAAATCTTCCAAGGCTGATTTATTTTGATGGGAATTTCATTACTTTAAGCCATACTACACAATTAATATGCAGGTACCATACCATAACAGCGTTCCGTGCGCCTCGGTGTTTAGTCATGCCGGCCACATGACCACGGAAACGTCTTCGGACAGCGCTGGCTCTTCGGCTTTGAAACGGAGATGAGCACCGCAACCCTAGAGTCAGATTCGACTGGCTTTCGAGCAAGGGAACCTTTACCTTTACCTTTTACCATACCGTGGTAGTTATCTTATACTTGAAAATAGTGTTTTGTGTTAATTTTCAGAGCAACAGAAGAACCTGTCATCAATTTCTTACTTCCAGGACATTTTATTCCCTAGCTAGCCCCCACTCGGACTCACCCTGACTTACTTATTTATTTATTTATTTATTTACATTACATTTATACTCCGCCCTTCCCGCGAACGGGCTCAGGGCGGCTGACTTGGATGGTTCGGGCTAGCCTGACCTCATCAGATCTTAGAAGCTAAGCAGGATTGGCTCTGGTTGGTAATTGGAAGGGAGACCACCAAGAAATACCAGGGTCGTGACAAATAGACAGGCAGTGGCAAAACCACCTCTGGGTGTGTCTTGTCTTGAAAACCCTGCAGAGTGGGGTCACCATATGTTGACTGCAGCTTGATGGCCCTTCCCATCACCAGTCAGACATGCCTGCATTAGCCCATGAGTTTTGTTTCAGGTCTGTTTTTGTAAATTAATTCTCTGAACTTTGAGACCATTTTTTGAAAAATGTCTTTTGGATTTTTGTACCAAACTTAATGTGTTTGGTTTGCTGATCTGCAGTTTGAAATGGATCTACCTGGTGAAGGCCATGAACACCAAATACCTTGTGCTTTTTTCAAATTACAGATAAAACAGAATTTGATACTCGGTATAGAATTTAAATTCTGATGTCTTTTTCTCTCCTCACATCTGCTGGTTATAAATACTTTTTTTAGACCATAACGCCATGGGAATATGTTTGAAGCTAGTCCCGTCAAAGATATGTCCACAAGCCACATTTTACTGTGTCTGCCTTCATGCCCTTTCGTAATCTTGTTTGCTTTTACTGTGTCTGCCTTCATGCCCTTTCATAATCTTGTTTGCTTCCTGCTACACCTCCTTTTAAATATCCTGGTTCATAGTGCAAGTGTATAGATGATAATGGGCAAACTGGACAGTGGTTTTGTACATAGTATGTAATATGAGTTTCTTTGGCCCAGAATCTAGACATTGGTTGGTGTCGAGTGCAGTGGGATATAAATTGGCAGATGTGAAGGAATAGAAATTAAGTGATGTGAGTGCTGTGTAAAATTCTACATCAATTTTCTGTACATCAGTTCTCCATCCATAAAATGCTATGCCTTTGCTAATGTATTGCAGTGCTTCATTTTAAGAGAATTTAAGGCATTTCTTGCTATGTTTAAGTTGATACAATATTTGACAATGTACCAGTTCAGCTTCATGTAAGGACATAGATGTCTTGCATCACTCTAAAAGGACATACCATAAGAAGAGCCCTGCTCAGTTAGTCCATCTAGTCCAGCATTCCGTCTCACACGGTGGCCAGGCAGTTACTGTGGTGGGGCCACCAGGGCACAGAGACCAAGGCCTTCCCTGATGTTGCCTCCCTCCTGGCACTGGCATGTAGAGGCTTACTGCCTCCGAATGTGGAGGTTCCCCTTAGTCACTCTGGCTGGTAGCCACTGATGGACTCCAATGTGAAAATTATCCTTTTAATTTGAAAATGTGTTATATGTTCTTGATAAGAGATTTGGCCAAAGTATTTTAGAGCAATTAGCAGTAGGTACCATGAAAAACAGATATATAGATATAGATAAATAAATGTCTTAAGCTTTGGATTGGTGCCCAAAAGCTTGGAGCCAGTTTGGAGGACATTCCACAGCTGAAGCATCACCATTGGAAAGGCCCCATCTTCTGTGGGCACCCACCTTGCCTCCCTGGTGGAGAGGTGCAACCAGGGCCTGTGGTGAAAACTGTAAAGGTTGGTCGGGTTTACAAGATTATAGCCTTGCCACTGGGTTTAATTTGGGGCGCTGACTGACCTGAGCTAGAGAGGAATGGCCCCCATTTGGAGTCCCCTGACTTCTTACTTGTCCTGCAGACTTTCATTCGTGTCTATTCTGTTCTTATTCTTAGGCTTGGGCTTTAACATCGTTGGAGGGACAGACCAGCAGCACATGTCCAATGACAGCGGCATCTATGTTAGCCGAATTAAAGAAAATGGAGCTGCTGCCCTTGATGGACGCCTACAAGAGGGAGACAAAATTTTAGCAGTAAGTGCTTTAAGTTTCTCCACAGAAATTGTTATAGGATTGAGAATAATTTTTTTAAAACTAAGCTCAGAAAAACAAGTTTTGTGCCTGTTGTAGAAAGTACCTAGATCACTTTGAAAAATTAAAATACACATATAATGTAAAGGACTCTTTTAGATTTATGAAAACAATCAAGCAACATTCATCTTACTGTCTACACTGCTTTTACTTCTGTGAGCATCCCCTGTTCAGCCTGGTTTGTCCCCTTGTGTGTGAAGTGTTCTTTTAAAAAATGTCTTTTCCTAGGTTAATGGCAAGGACCTGAAAAACATGTTGCACCAGGATGCTGTGGATCTGTTCCGGACTGCAGGAGACAGCGTATCACTAAAGGTCCAACACAGGGTGTGTATTCTCTGCTCCTCCAGATTGCTCTTTAGGACCTGACCCGTCGTTTGGAACGAAGGGTGCCACCATCATCTCCTGATGAGTTTTTGTGATGCATAAGACCCAGAGAATGGGGACCATCAGATCCCTCTCTGGATTTGTCTTACCTCCTGTTTGCTGTGGCAGGAGGCAGCTGTTGCATTTTATTATTACACTTTCAACAATGCAATTGGTGGTGAGTCCAACGCTTTTCAACATGAGGGGAGGGTAGACAGACCCCTGCCTCAGGTAACTTGCTGAAGAGAATCAAAGGATGGAATGCAAGGATGAAAAATGAGGATATGTTGGATTCAGAACGAAGATGGTAAGATCTTAATGAGAAAAGTGGGCATTGAGGAAGGAACCTTTTATCTAGCTTGTAAGTAAGGGCAAAAGGATCATTCTCTGAAGTGACAGATAATTCAGTGGAGGAAAATTGAAATCTACCACCTCTCAAATGTAACGGGGGTGGGTATGACAACTAGAGCATAATAAGCAGATGAAATAAATTGTGCAAATGGAAGAAATGAAATAATAATAGTAATTAACTCAATTCATTTTTGTGGCATTTACTCTTGTGTTCATTTGTTCATGAGTTAATGAACACTGCCTGTGGTTAATATCTAGCATGTGTTGGAGCAGGACCCTCCAGTTTTCCAAAGGTACAATGAAGTGTTTGGTCGTGTTTGCTTTAAGAAGCATGTGTGCCTTACCAGTAACCCTTCTTCCCATTACAGCTGCTGCCTCAGAATGGTCCCTCAAGCCAGCGAGGGGATGGAGAGCCAGGAGGTATCCCTTTGGCTGTGATTTTGGTGCCTGGGCTGGCTATCGCAGTGGCTGCAGTGTGGGCCTTCCTGAGACTCCGACAGCGAGTGTGACCAATGCCTTCACCTTTAGGGAGACCTAGAGAGTAATTTAAAGAGAGCCAATCAACACTTTTATTTTTGGACTGACATTGGGCAGTGGGGAGAGGAGAACATCTTTGCCTGCTGTAAAGTTGTTGCTGCTGTTTGTAGTGTCATGTATTGGGCGATGGAGATAGGAAGTATGATTGTTTATGAACAGGGATGCGCCATTTCACTGATCTTGCATCTGATTGTTTAATTCCCTTTTCCTCTGTCCTGTGCCCCATGAATTTTCACATACTTGGTATTTTAAAATATGGACTGTGATCCAAAGGCTCTTCCTATTCAAAACCAGCCCTTCCATTTGTGACCTGACAAGGTGCTTTTCAATCTTGGAGGAACTTCTGAAGCAGTTGCCAGTGCAGCATGAGGAGCTGGGCTTGGTGTGGGGGGCGAGACATCCTGAAGCATGCAGAGAATAGCTTTCGCTTGCCAAGAGAGGCTTCTTCAGAGCCCAGGCCTGGCATCTCTTGGGAAGTGGGAAAAGGCCGTGGGCATTTTGTGAATCAAACCTTATTTGAGAATATGCTCTTTCTCTCAAGTTGTCTTACAACCCAGGGATACTCCAGCTGGTAGTGATAAGTGAACTAGTGATGGGGAATGTCTGATTCTTTTCCTTGGGGGGGGGTAATTTTAATTATATGCCTTAGCAAAACACAGTTGGCTTAATCCTGTAGTTTTCTAGGTGATGTTCCCACTACTGGTGGGCTACTGACATAAGTAATGAATGTTGAGGTATTGGGGGAAAGGTGTAGCTTGGCATAGTCAGGGAGGGAGAAGGGGATGAGAGGAACCAACTGGTGGAGGACCATCACCATAAATCCATACTGTTATATGGAAGTAGGTTTCATGGAAATCCGTGGAGTTGGCTTCCAAGTAAATATGTAAAATACTGGGGTACAAGAAAGGTTCCTAAGAGATGCAATAGAAAGATTTTAACCAAGTGCTGATAAGTATTCTGGTGCCAATGGGTTTATAAATATTCATACTTCTAAGTGAATTGAGGAAAGGTATGGAATCTAAAGGCAAAATAACCCATTGGACTACTAGGTGTGTAGCTTTTAGATAGTGGAAAGCTATAATGGAATACAATATTGCTTTCCCAAATATAGTGATAGCAAGTGATTTGCTATTCTCAGAGCCTCTGGGAGAAGGTTGTTGCTACTACATTGTTGGTCTATCCATGTCTACTACTTTCATGTTGAAGTATTGGATGACGTGGCTGCTAGGTGTACTCCTGTGGCTAGTATATACCTTACAGGAGGAATACAGTAATAAGCTTTAATTGTTGGGGGGGGGGATTGCCTCTCACCACACTCATTGTGCATCTGCAGTAGAAGTGCCTGTACCACCCTTTTGATGCATTACAGCCAGACTAGAAGGATGGGGGGTGGGGAGAATTCACCTATAAGTTACTGTACTGGCATTGTGCAGCTGGTTGGGCAGAATAGGCTGATCTTGCTGTTGGGTCTTGCAGTGCAGTTTGGTGGGGGGAGGATCAGCTTGAGCAGACTGTTGGGTGTGCATCCGCTCTATTGGACTGGATGTGCATCAGTTTCAGTACAGGCATGTCCTTTAATGTCTTCTGGGGAGTAGGAAAACATTGTTTGCCCTACCAAATTTGCCCTAAAACAGTTGATCAGGAGTTGGAACCCAGGTTAATTTCACCAGCTAGATTGGATCCAGATTGAATGCTGCTTCTGGGAGATGAGGGATGCTGAGGGATGACGTAAGGGGAGTCCACCATCAGACCAGGGAATCAGTGGATATGCCAATTTATTCTAGGTCCAACCCACTGATTTTTCCCGCCCCCGTATCATAACCCATGGTATCCTTGAGGGTCCTCTAAACTCAAGGAGCAAGCATTTCAGGTAGGTAAAGGGCAAACAGGAAAGATGGGTTCTATGTGTGGAGCTCTATTCAAGGTCCTTTGGGATTTAGCTCGACATCTAATTTTATGTTCTGTAGATTTGCCAAGAGTGGTTTCTCTCTTTGCCACAGAGCTGATGGTTGCAATCTGAAACACCGTAACCTAGTTAAGAAGTCCAGTGGAACTCAGTGGGGGTTACTTCCAAGTAAGCATGTTTAAGATTTATCAAGTTGGCTTTTATTTCAACCACTGAAGCACACAGTATCTTGTGTAAGCGATGGACTTCCTGTGTTTATGCTATACATTTCTTGACTGGACAACCTGAATTGTAGCCTATAAAAACATAGTTACAGTCTTTTGAGCCTTACTGGCAGGAAACAATATTAAACAGGAGAAAATCTGTAAGATGGGGGGAGACAGAACTTGAAGGAAAAGCTGCAACAATTTCACTTTCAAGATGGTGACCTTCCTACGCTTCTCATATTGTTTGGTGACTCAGAATCACTGAGGTCATATCAGTTTCACTTTTCTCAGAGCAAATATGTTTTTGTATATTAAAAAAAAATTGTGTGGTCTGTATAATGCCAAAAAAAAAATCACATATGCAATATATGTACTGAGTCTTTAAATTATGGTCTCACACCTCTTCAGTTTTCTAATCCTGCTATCTCTCTTAAAGATTTTTTAAAAAGCCAACATTAAAAAGCTGCCCACCTGGCACTGGAAAACTGAATTTCATGACTGGGAGGTTGCATGCCACAGCTTGTTTCACCTTCAGTATGAAGGAAGCACAGTCTTTTCTGAGTCTCAGACACTGGGATCAGGGACATGCTACCCCCTCCCCACACTGCATTCTCCTGTTTGAACAGGTACATTAATTCCTGGAACCTGTTTCCGGCAATGGAGTGTAAAGTTTCCCTTCACAGATATCCTTTGCTTCTCACAGGGTCTCTGATATGCCCCCCACCCCCAACCACTTATCTGTGGTCGGCCAGAATTATGCATGCTTTCTTTTCAACTGATGGCTTTGGAGTTGCTCCAGAGAATGGAACCCAGGATGGGAATTACAAATGGCAAGATCCGGCTGTGCAGAGGAGAGGCTGACTCAGTCCTCAGTCCATTGAGCTCTCGAGAACAGCCTGCACTGCAGGTGTGGGAGGCAAAATCTGACCTTTGCCCAGAGATTGGGAAGAGGCTTCAGATGATTCCGTATTTGAATACTCCACTTAAAAAAAAAACACCTCTCGCACAAAGAAAAAGCTTGATAGGAAGAAGGCTGAAACCTCTGATTGTGCCTGGAGGTTTTTTTGGTGGGGTGCCCTGTGGTAGTGAGAACAAAACATCTGTTCCACACCTGACACCTGCTCTACTAACAACAACTTCATAGAGTAAATGCCCTTTATCCTTGGATGAAGAATGCACATAGATGCATTGTTCTCTTCAAGGGATTGTCTTTCTTCCCACAGCTCCCAAACCTGGCCTTTCAGCATGTATTTTTTGCTTGCAGAAAATCCAAACCTGTGTTTCCAGTTTAAAATGGAACTTGGGAAGCAGGTGATGAAAAAAGCCATGAAGGGCCATTGCTACTCACAGAAAGCATTCTGCTAGAGGTACCAATACTTTGACTAGCTGCAAGGGAATGACATCTTTTTCCTAATAGTTAAATATTAAGTACCTTTTGAGGCCAATATATTTGGTTTCTTACTCAGGGGCTTCCTACCCCCAATAAAGGTCAAAATCATCTTATTTCATTCAGCATTTTCAGTAATTTACTTGTGAAGTCTTGTAAGATATTTATTTTTATAGCCAAGATCTTTCCCATCTAAGCTCTGTATTTTCCAGTTGGCTCTTGTTTGGAATCAGTTTTATGGACCACCAAGTGGCTTCCTAAATGGCAGCTTGGAGAAACACCAGTGCACTGGAAAAATAAATTTTGATTCCAGTGGCAACTTTAAGACCAACAAAAGTTTATTCGAGATACTGATATCTGAGGGTGTGTGTGCGCACACAAAAGCTCATACCTTGAATAAACGTTTGTTGGTCTTAAAGGTGTCACTGGACTCAAAATTTGTTTGACTGCTTCAGACTAACATGTCTGCCCACCTGGCACTGGAAAACTGAATTTGATGTACTGCTAGTTGACAGCTGTAGCCAGTATTTCATCTGTAAATCTAGACTGCAATGGTATTATATGAGGAAATGAACTCTACTAGCATTTGAGGTCAGTCTTACATTCATATTCTCTTTCCAAGTTGCTTATGAAGTTCTCTGTATTAGAAGAACCACATGCCTGCCGGTTGGTGTTGCCATAGCCTTGCTGAATACAGAGCATACACAATAAAATTAGCCCGTTTGAGTTTCCTCTGTCCCACTCCAGTTACTGTGACTTGCACTTCCCATCATGCCTCAAAAGAATTTTTTCCCCTTCAAAGCTGTTTGTGGTGTTTCTTTCATACTTGTGAATAGATGCTGTTGTTTTTTTTTAATTTAGGCAGATTTCTCCTGCTGGGCTAGGGTGGATGAAAATCAAATTGTGGGGTACAAGCCCACTAGCAGAGCAGCTGCTAACACTGGTGTTTTTAACTGCTGCCTCGTTGTGAACAAGTAACCCCTGTTCCTTTTTCCAGTCTAAGTTAGATTTACCCTTAGGGACGCTTGAACACCTCTGGTTCTGAAGATGAATGCAGTGGTCAGCCAGGTTCATAAGGTAGTAGGTGGTCCTTCAGGTATGTTGGTCCCAAATCATATAGAGTTTTGAAGGTCAAGACCAGCCCAGAAACAAATTGGGAGTCAGTGTAGATGGGTTGAGGCCAGAATGATATGGTCCCTACAACTCACTCCAGTCAACATCTTAGCTGCAGCCTTCTGTATCAGCGGAAGTTTCTGAACACTTCTCAAGAGCAGCCCTTAAATCCTGGGTCAGACCTTCCACCCACCAGTAACACTTCCTTTTTGTCAGGATTAAGCTTCAGTTTATTAGCCCATGAGAGCAAGTGTGGTGTAGTGGTTATGAGTGTCTGACTCGTATCTCGGTGACATGGGCTCACATCTCCACTTGTGTGGTGGAAGCTCGCTGAATGACCTTGGCACAGTCATGCTCTCTCAGCCTAAGTTACCTCAGAGGGTTGTGAGGATAAACTGGAGGAGAGGAGAACAATTTAAGTCTCTTTGGGTCCTCATTGGGGAGAAAGGTGGAGAATAAATGTATTAAATAATAAATCAGTTCCAAAGCTGCCTCCACGCACTGGTTCAGGGTTTCTTCAGCCTTCTGGGATCAGCTGGAAGAATGAGACCAAGTTGAGTATCATCTTCATCTTTGAGATAATCCAGCCCAAATCTCTGAATAACCTCACCCAGAGATTTCACGTAGATGTAAAAGAGCATAGGTGACAAAGTGGAACCTTGTGGGACCATATAGGCTAAAGGCCATGGGCCTTCGCAGCAGTACCCCATTGACACCTTTTTAAAACCTACTCTCCGGGTAGGACTGGAACCACTGCAGGACGGTGCCTCCCAATCCCACTCCAGATAGGCAGTCCAAATTGATAGCACTGAAAATTGTTAAGAGATCCAGGAGAATCAACAGAGTGGCCCTCCTCCTGTCCATCTCCTGGTGCAAGCTGTTGCGGCAACCCAGGCTGTTTCAGTCCCATTACCAGGCCTACACCCCGATTGGAAGAGATCTAGCCAATTTGCCTCACCCAGGAAAGCTTGGAGTTGTCCAGCCATCACTCATTTAATCGCCTTGCTTCAAGAATGGAACATTTGAGACTGGTCAGTAATTACTGAGATCTCCTGGGCCCTGGTTGGCTTCTTTAGAAGGGGATGCGCCACAGCCTGTTTCAAGGCTGGGGCTACCATCCCCTCTCTTAAGGAAACGTTAACTACCTGTCAACACCAGTCAGCCAACCCCCCTGGCAGATGTAAGTCACCAGGAAGGGCAAGGGTTGTACAAGCAGGTGGTAGGCCTCAAACGTCCAAGGATCTTGTTCACATCCTCAGACTGAATAAGCGGGAACGTATCCCAAACAATTGGGCAGGTCAAGATCCTGGTACCATCCAACCCTGTCACTGCTAATGTAGAGTCCAAGTTGGAATGGATGTAAAGTGCTGAGCAAAATGGTCACAGCAGGCAGCCATGCTGTCCACCTCCCACTGCAGGCCAGAGCCCAACAGGCCTCTGACCATCTGAAACAGCGCAATAGGTTGTTTCAATGTATTCCTAACAGTACAGCATAATTAGGTTTTCATGCATGTACTGTCTCGGAAAGTCTACTGGGTTTCTCCTCTCCTTCCCCATCCTTGTCGATCTGGAAGCAGGCAATTGTTTAAATAGACAGTTAAATCACTCACTAATCATGGAAATCAGTCATAAATAAATGTCGTTTTTTAAAGTCCTACCAGTTCATTATTAATCTAACCAGTCCCTAGTAATATTAATGGCAGATGATCTGTTTGGATTGGCGGTATTGTTGCAACTGTATTAGAAGAACCACATGCCTGCCGGTTGGTGTTGCCATAGCCTTGCTGAATACAGAGCATACACAATAAAATTAGCCCGTTTGAGTTTCCTCTGTCCCACTCCAGTTACTGTGACTTGCACTTCCCATCATGCCTCAAAAGAGTTCTCTGTATTAGAAGAACCACATGCCTGCCGGTTGGTGTTGCCATAGCCTTGCTGAATACAGAGCATACACAATAAAATTAGCCCGTTTGAGTTTCCTCTGTCCCACTCCAGTTACTGTGACTTGCACTTCCCATCATGCCTCAAAAGAATTTTTTCCCCTTCAAAGCTGTTTGTGGTGTTTCTTTCATACTTGTGAATAGATGCTGTTGTTTTTTTTTAATTTAGGCAGATTTCTCCTGCTGGGCTAGGGTGGATGAAAATCAAATTGTGGGGTACAAGCCCACTAGCAGAGCAGCTGCTAACACTGGTGTTTTTAACTGCTGCCTCGTTGTGAACAAGTAACCCCTGTTCCTTTTTCCAGTCTAAGTTAGATTTACCCTTAGGGACGCTTGAACACCTCTGGTTCTGAAGATGAATGCAGTGGTCAGCCAGGTTCATAAGGTAGTAGGTGGTCCTTCAGGTATGTTGGTCCCAAATCATATAGAGTTTTGAAGGTCAAGACCAGCCCAGAAACAAATTGGGAGTCAGTGTAGATGGGTTGAGGCCAGAATGATATGGTCCCTACAACTCACTCCAGTCAACATCTTAGCTGCAGCCTTCTGTATCAGCGGAAGTTTCTGAACACTTCTCAAGAGCAGACCTTAAATCCTGGGTTAGACCTTCCACCCACCAGTAACACTTCCTTTTTGTCAGGATTAAGCTTCAGTTTATTAGCCCATGAGAGCAAGTGTGGTGTAGTGGTTATGAGTGTCTGACTCGTATCTCGGTGACATGGGCTCACATCTCCACTTGTGTGGTGGAAGCTCGCTGAATGACCTTGGCACAGTCATGCTCTCTCAGCCTAAGTTACCTCAGAGGGTTGTGAGGATAAACTGGAGGAGAGGAGAACAATTTAAGTCTCTTTGGGTCCTCATTGGGGAGAAAGGTGGAGAATAAATGTATTAAATAATAAATCAGTTCCAAAGCTGCCTCCACGCACTGGTTCAGGGTTTCTTCAGCCTTCTGGGATCAGCTGGAAGAATGAGACCAAGTTGAGTATCATCTTCATCTTTGAGATAATCCAGCCCAAATCTCTGAATAACCTCACCCAGAGATTTCACGTAGATGTAAAAGAGCATAGGTGACAAAGTGGAACCTTGTGGGACCATATAGGCTAAAGGCCATGGGCCTTCGCAGCAGTACCCCATTGACACCTTTTTAAAACCTACTCT